TAGAATGCTGCAGCATGACCTTAAGCAGCTGTTAAACAACTTATGAAAAAGTAAAAAAAAAAAAAAAAAAGAAAAGAAAGAAAAAGCCAAGACTAAATGAAGGTAGTGATTTTTTTCTAGTCAAAGTTTGGATTAAAATCCAGTTAGAATGCTGCAGCATGACCTTAAGCAGCTGTTAAGGATATTAATCTGTGAAATACCTAAATTAACTGCAAAAAATAAAATTAATTGCAAAAAAGAGTGGATAAATATTCCTCCTCATAGCAAAATATGGTCTAGCCAGTTAATATATTAGGGTCAGTTACTCTTAAATTGCATTTAGTTTCAATTTAGGTAAGGAAAGTGGTAATTAGAAAAATATTATTTAAAATTGGTCATTGTGAAAAACTTGCGTCGTTTGTACTTTTATTTTGAAGGGCCCAACCGGAACAGGTATTCCTCGCAATAGTTAATTAAATAGCCCCTTCGTGTCCCGCATGTTGTCCTCAGTTTGGAGCAGAGGGGAAAACCGCAACTTCACGCCGAGAAATGTAAGTCTTTTAAAAGATTTAAATCGACTTTAGTCTAACGGACATAAAACGTTTTACCTTTCTAAGTGCTTTTAATCAGACTTTATGCTTAGATACACCTGGTAAAAGTGTTGCGTTTAAAGTTTCCAGGAGTTTTTAGCCTCACGGAGCGCTCATCAAATAAAGGAGTTATTTAACACTGTGGCTGAAAGCACTGAAACCATTTCTATTGTTTATTTGTTGTGTTAAATCATTTAACCTACTGCCCGAATAGAAAACTAAATAAATAATATTTTGGGTTAATATCAAATAAAATAAAACGATTTGTCTACAAAAATCTCACTTTTTAATTTACATAAATGTAAATTAATCACTAAAAAAGCTTAAATTATTTTATTTCATGATAATTTAGGATAGAACTAAATGGAAATTATTAGATTTATTTAGAATGAGGGTTTTGTTAGTTTAGTTTTAAATGTATTTGGTTCTTATCTAACCTGATCAGACTGAGCAAATGTCAAAAGAAATAGTGTAAAAAAAAAAAAAAAAATTAAATGCACAATAACAAATCTTCATAAACAATATTGAGCATAATTAACTTTATATTATCCAAATAACAGGTTTTGAAGAGGACACAGTGCTGATATAGATTAGGAACTAAAAACAAATAATGCATAAAAACGGATTAATTTATTCTTGATCTTTTGGATTTGCTCAAATAAAGTAGAATTATTAAATTGGACAAAAGTAATGGTCGAATTAAATTTAATGTATTGTTTTGATCAGGTGCCAAAAAACAACAACAATAAAACAAAACAGTTTTTTTCCTTTTTATTTATGAAAATAAAAATAATTGAATATATATATATATATATATATATATATATATATATATATAAAAACAACAACATTTCATTTAGACTGTTTAAGCATTGAGGTTTCTTGATAAAATCTGCTAAATTTGGAACTTAAAAAACTTTTTTTTTTCCCTCTAATGTTCATAAATTAAATAGAAACGTAAAAAAAACTAAAACAAGTTTTTGGCCCGATGGGTTTTTGATTACACATGAGCTGAAGAAAGTTTGTTGTTTTTTTTGGTTCCCCTAAATGAAAACTACAGTACAGAATAGTTAAAAGGCACATACAGCTGAAATATATAAGTACAAATAATAATAATAAGTACAAAAGCAAAAATAGAGTAAAAAAAAATAATTCTCCTAATTTTAGGAAAATAATCCCTGGATTTGAAAAATAAAGTTTTTCTTGATACTGAGTTGGAGCTGAATCCCAAGAATGTGTTGAAATTGCCCTTTAACCAACAGCCAAGTTAAAAGATAGAAATCTGACGCCACCTATAGTTTTTCTCTCATTGCTTGTCGTCGTGTAAAGCAGCTTTGGTAGCAGCTTCTTGTTGTTGATTATTCATCCCCAGATGGTGCATTCAAGGTCTCTCACCAGCATTTTAACCTTGCCAAAAGTCCTGTTTTCTTATTTTTTGTTTTTATTTACTGATAAATATTTGCATTGAGTCAGGAAGGATTGTTAAACACGTTTGTTTTATGTGTGATCAGTGATAACCCATCAGCTCCACTGTGTCCTGTCCCTGGGTCTGACTGGATGATTAAATGCTGAATTTGTTTTTCCTTTTTTGTTTTCTGCACATTTAAAAGAAAGTTGTGTAACTGACCTGCAGCCTTAATCCTCTTTCGTCTTTAAATTCAAAGGTCACTTCAGCATGTGTGACACAACATCGCTCTCTGTTACTTCAGAACTGTTTATTTTTCACAGTTTTAAACTGTATTTAATATTAAAGATGAACTATTACTCTACAAATCGTGTAATGTATTGAATGTGTTCATCTGCCTGCAAGCGCATTCAGGGTCAGTGTGGATTTCACCCTTCATAGAGCTTTTCTCCCAAAATGTGCAAAAACAGAAATAAATGTTTAGAAACACATCTTCCCTGGTCGTTACCTCCTTAAAATTACCTTAATTTCAGTGTAATTTTGAGAACTTTCAGTGTAACCAGTGGTTGGATTGAATTGGTATCTTTATTTCGAACATGCAAGAGAAAAACAAAAAAAACAAAACAATGTTTAAAAACATTGGAGAGAAAAACAAGGTACCTTTCCTGAGTTATACCTCTATTTAATGTGCGAAAAAGGGTAAACTTATGTGCTCCTACCCCTTTAATTCTTGTATTTCTTCAATTTACAATATTTATAATTATGTTGCTTTATATATCCATATAAATACATACCTACCTACACATATACATACATAAATATGTATACACATATACCTTCATACATATATACAAATAAACAAAACAAAAAACACAAACAAAACTTTCTACCTTTTGAAAATAATTTCTTTGTACATTTTTTGGAAAAGGAATATGTTTGGGCATTGCTTTAGGTTCTCATTTAGTTTGTTAGTTAGTTTGGTTGCGCTCAAATGTGCTTGACAGAACCCTGAGGAAGAAAACCTAGATGTCAGTCATGTCAGAATGAGCGAAAAACCACACAGAGCCGATAGCTTCTGTGTGGCAGATCATCTTAAATATAGTGCAGAGTTGGCAATTTTAAGTGTAGAAGGTCAAAATGCTGAAATACTCCTGGAAAACCGTTAAACAAAGGGAACTTAAATTGTGAAAAACAGAGTACACAGAATTTGGAAGCCATGTGGTGCGTTTAATTTCTCCTCAAAAGTTCTGAATTCCAGCTTGCAAGTTTGGACAAAACTGGATAGTCCCAAAAGATGGTACCAAACTTAAGAATTAAAGATGGATGCTAGTTGCATCATCAGTAGTTTGATTGCATTTAGCAGTTCGTTATTATGTTTGTAGCACAAGTAAGTTGTTCAGGTACTACCTTCAGTAGTTGTACTGTACAGCAAAGAGACCCAGCTAAACACAGAAGAATATAAGCCAGAAATACTTTGGGAGAAGTACTTACCAGGCCAGGAAAGCGCCAGGTAAAAAAAAAGAAGTACACATAGTGAATGGTAGCAATAGCTTCATCAGTGTCTCTACGAAAGAGACATTACTAAACATTGAAAAACTGAACATGGTGTAATGAAAAAAGGAGAGAATTCAGATGTAATGTGAACTACTGCCCCTTTAATAACTGTGTCTGTTGGAAATAACACAAAACATACAAGAACTGGGCAAGAAGAACTTTTTGTAGGGAGAAAACGGTGCAAAAAGTTCTTTCCAGCATTGGCAGCCAATGGCACAAAGCCTTTAAAGATAGAAAAACACGCATTCAAAGGTTTATATAACATCTAGTGTGTCGTGTTTTTGTTTTTCTCCTGTTCTTGTTTAGGTTGTGGAGAAGATCTCTGTTAGCAGCTCTGCTGGCTGCGGCTGTAGGACTTTACCTGCTGCCGTCTCCCATAGACCCCAAACCCCACATGTAGGTGTCGACACTTTCATATTCAAATGTGTCCCTCATCCATTGTTGATTAGTGTTGCTAACCCGTGTCTGTTCAGTCTGAAGGGGCCTCCCCCGGCACTCGAAGGGCCCCTCGCTGTTAACACCCGGCTGCAGAGGGGGCGCAGGTTGTTCACTGGAAAACTACATGGACCAGAATCCTTTACTGCGGATGAAAATGGTGAAATTATCAGATGCTTGAACTGAACTTTGCGATCAATTGAGATATTCTGTATTTATGAAGATATTTCCAATAGTATTTAAAAACTACCTAAAATTGCCAGAACAATCTTAGATTTAAGGACCAAACTCTAGTTTTTTTTTCCTTTTTCATTTGGTTGTAATAATCAATCTTTACCACTAGATGGCGATACATTCCTTTCTCTTTACATGTAATTTAATTTTGAAGGAAAAGTCCGGTCAGCAAGGAATGATCAATGGATCATTATTTATATCTAAAACTAATACATTTGCGGCGATTTAATGAATTTAGCGTTAATCAATAAAAAAATAAATAAAAAGAAATTTCGTTGCGATCACTTTGTCACTTTGCCCCTCCCTCCTGCCATCTTCCAGCAGTGACGTCACGGTGCGGTAAGCCTAGCGCCATTCTCCCCGCTTTACAAGCTAAATCAATGGGAACTACTAGACACATCTGCAATCAACAACAATTATTGAAGATTTCCAGAGGACTTCACCATTGAAATTCACCAGAGCTATAGTGAAACTGACAATGCCCACGTGCATGGCAGCTGGATGCTGGAATACATCGGGTAATTTCAGAAGTTTGTATTTAGAATGTGACCGGACTTTTCCTTAAGGTTTTACTTCAGTGATTGAAAACTTTTCCTTTCCCTTTTTGTTTCAGGTAACGTTTACACAGGAACGGTGGACGGGAAGCTGTGGCGAATCGGTCCTGATGACAGCCTCGTCCTCATTACACACATGGGACAGGAGCTACCAGAATGTGGTTCGGATACTTTGCTCTGTTTGTTCAGGGTGGACTAAATCCTTCCTGTTGTATCTAAAGACCAGACCTTTCCCTTTTTATGCTGTTAATGCAGATCTACTTCCTTATTAATCAGGGAGGATCCACAGACATCGTATTTTGTTTAAAGAAACTTAAGTTGATTTTCCATATTGAGTCTAGATCTGTATATCCACATTCAAGCCATGAAAGATGAAGATATAAAATAAATATTTAGATTTAACATTTGGATTTGGGGGGAATGTTTGGCTTTAAGAATAAGATTTAAGATTTTGGGTGTAAATTTGGATGTAAATATATAATTTGGATTCAGATATAGGAAGCTGACATATTTTATGTTTGTCTGTTAAAGTTGGATGGAAGAAATGTAACAGTATGTTGTAGGAAAAAAGAATTGAACTATTCATCCTAGTTAAATAAACAGAGATTTGATGGATTTCACTCAGTCGGCACATATTCAAAAATATTTCACTAGATTTTTTGTGTTCAAAAATATTTCACTAGATTTTTTGTGTTCAGCACCCTATAGAGCTTTCGTCTTTCCCAAATAAAATAGCGCGTTAAACCGTGTTTTTTAAACATGAGTCGACTCTCTAACAATCAGCATTTGGCTCCCTTCCCATTGGCATATAAAGCTGGTCTAACCCAACACTGGCAGCTGCATGGCCTCTGCTCCCCCCACCTTCCACAGTGGTTTGTCAGGTGATGCCATCACGCTGGGTTAGCGTTGATGATGTCACCAGTGCAATCAGGGAAGTAAACAATGAAGAGCAACATGGAAGGAAACCAGGGCGTAGTCAATGATCTTTATTATTTATCTGTCTGAAGCTGCTCCATGTTTATCAAATGTAAACAGAGTTGTTTATGCTTGTTAGATCAGAAGCGACTGGTGTGGTGTGTTGATGTCCGTACGTTGCATTCAATGGTATCACGTAATTAAAGTGTCAAACCAGCTCTGGTGTTCCCACAGCAAGCCGATCAGAGCTGAGGCGATTTTGACTTGGGTCGCTTGCCGAGTCGTTTCATCCAGGTAGACATGCGTCCGTGAGCTGTTCTCACTGCCACTAAAAGCTGATTGTTCCTGGGTTTAAACAGGTTTTCAGCCAGTGGAAAAGGGGTATTTTCTTCTTTTTTACATGAAAACCAGTTCAGAGTTATTCTGCTTAACTGTTACTTTACCAGACAGAGCCACCCGTGGAGCTAGTTTACTGTTACCTTTTTTAACACAGAAAGTATTTATAGATCTCTGCTTTTTTAATTCTTTTTTTTTTGTTTGTTTGTCTGCTTCTGTCCCTTTTAACCACCTGGGAGCAAAGCATGACCTGTACAATCCTGCTGCTTTTATGTTGTTTTTTTATTGAATAATATTTTACATATGGATGCATAGAGTACCAGATAAGTGGGCTTTACATCATTCATTCTGCCACTTGCGGAAGCTTTTTTTTTAGTTATAATAACATTGATTTACAGGAATATAAAGTTTCATGAAGTTAAATCTCTACATGGATTTTAAACAATCAAACTGTCTTGCTTGTTTCCAGGCAGCAGCACAGACTACGAACCGGTCTGTGGTCGTCCTCACGGCGTCCGTCTGGACCGCCATGGTCAGTTGATCGTCGCCGACTCGTACTTCGGCCTTTACAGCGTAGACCCTGAAACGGGAGAGAAGACCCTGCTGGTGGCCAGCTCTGATAGTACTGTAGATGGTTTTCAGTGGATTTTTAATCAGTGAAAGGGGAGAACCTCATTAAACCATCTTCTATCATCAGGAGCTGCCGGCCTTCCCTTCGCCTTCCTGAACGGCCTCGAGATCTCCTCCCAAACTGGGATCATCTATTTCACCGACTCGTCCAGCCGCTGGGGCCGCAGACACGTCAAACTGGAGGTGAGTTCATAGCGGCCAGGTCACAGAGGCCGAGGTGGCACAAAAAATGGAACTTAATCTTTCTTCTGCATAATTGTAAAAAAAA